AAACGGACCTAAATKATCTAGGTGTATAGTTACAAACGGCAGAGGCGGGATATCCATTCCATAAAGTTCGCATTGCTTCCGTGATGGCTCACGACTATAACAGCAATCGATGCACGACTTAACAAAAGATTTTACAAAGTCTAAAACGAGGGAACCAGAAGTGTTGCAGAATTCTCTTAACTGTCCCATCCACTCGCGGATGACCCATATCGTCAAGACACATCTATTCTCTATTCTCCAACGCATTCCCTTTGGCACAACAGGCAACAGCTCCCCCTTCCCAGTTTTGCGAAACAATCTGTGATTTTTCAACGTGTTTTCTGAATTTATATCGGACCTTTGATCGGACTGCACGATCCCTTGCAATACGCCTATAATATGCTTGAGGTTGTCGTCATGCATTTGCATTGTAGCCAGCCAATCATCAACTGACAACAACAATATATTGGCCCCGACGTATTTTACTTGTTCTGACACCTTGATGCCCGACTCATCGCATCAACGTGACCCATAGACGACCCAGACCGATGTATTATATTGCAATCGTACTCAAGTAACTTAAGGAGCCATGGGGTCACCCTAAGTATCATCGGCTTCGATAGTTTTGCAGTTGTTATTGCTTGGCAATCAGTTACAACATTGAAGCGCTTTCCTAACAGGAACATTCGAAAACGCTGGCACGCTTCCACAACAGCAAGCACCTCTAGTTTGTAGGCATGATATTTCGCTTCTTGGGCTGTACAGTAAGCGATCGGCTGCAAACTTGCATTGGCTTCTGTCTGAAGMAGAATTGCGGCGACGCCAACACTGGAAGCATCAGTGTGCAGCTCATGCTCTTTCGAGACGTCGTATATGGCGAGGACTGGCGCTGTTGTCACTGACCGAACCAGATGCTGAAATGCTTCTTCACATGCTGTGGTCCATACGAATTCTGCACTCTTCGTCGTAAGCTGGGTGAGTGGTTTGGCGGTCAAGGCATACCCAGGCACAAATTTGCGGAAAAATCCCGTCAAACCCATAGAGCGTTGAACATCTAACTGGCTACTCGGTGTCGGATACTCTCTGATGGTTGCTGTTTTCACAGCCCCCGGTAGAATACCATTCGCGTCTACCACATGGCCTAAAAAATTCACGCTATAACGAAGAAATGAACATTTCGAAAGCCTCAACGTTAACCCTTCCTCTTGAATAATTTGCAAAAATTGCTCTAAATACCTCACATTCTCTTCCYTTGTATCCGCCGCTATTACAACCTCATCCACATAGCACATCACTCTATTCCCCAACGGTTATATTAATTGTGACATCATTCGTTGAAACACGCATGGCGCATTCCGAAGCCCAAACGGCATTCGGTTGAACTCGTAATGGCCATTATGAGTCACAAACGCTGTGAAAGGTTTAGCACTTTCTTTCAGTTCTACCTGATAGTATCCTGACATGAGGTCTAACGTCGTGAAATATTTCTTGCYTGRCAACGTGGCTAAAACTCCATCTACCGTGGGCATCAACCATGGCTGTTTCTCTGTTACCGCATTTAGCTCCCGGAAATCGATACATAATCTGTCCTTCCCATTTTGCTTACGCACCAACACAATTGGTGAAGCGTACAATGAGGAAGACCTGCGAATTATCCGTAGATGTAGCAACTCTTCAATAATGCCCTCTACTACACGTTGTTTTGGAATGGGGATACCATACGGCTTTTTCGAAATCGGCCTCGGWGACGTTACCTGGATATCCATTTTGAACCGCTTCGATTTCCCTAACTCAATTAGCCTTTCTCCAAAACAATGTGTGTACGTATTTAACAACTCAAGTAGTTCTTGCTCAACCCTAAACTGCAACTTACTCCCTACGTCGATGYCACTTCTTTCAATTGCCATTATCCTACACGTACCTCYCTCAATTACCACCTTTCCCTTTGACAGTATGTCAATACCAATTATGGCATCGTAATCCATTACGTCATCATTTATAACCAATAAATTAACTAAACGCGTGACCTTATCAAATTTTACTTTCACCGACACCTTTTCCCTGCAAACTWTCTCACCTCCCGCAAAACCAATCAGCTTTTCAAAACATGTTGATGTACTTTCACCACACTTCCCTACAATTGAACGCTTAACAAGCGAACTGCCGCTACCCGAGTCAATGAGCGCACTGCAGCTGACATGCTTTTGACCAATGATAATGACATCCTTACGGAGTTCTGTGCATTTTTTACTAGGAACAATTTTGTTTGTGCATCACACCACTATTTTCTGCCACTTCAATGCACTCGTCACACACTATCTGATTTACAAGCTCAGTTCGGTTCACTTCACTAAATTTATTTCTTGGATCTTGCAATTTCGGGCGATATGCCCCCTTTCCCTACAATTATAGCAAACAGGCCCAATGCCATTTCTATTTGATTCAACCACAGCAGTTGGCATTTGCTGTGGAACCCGCATTGAAACAAATTCATTTGACCTACCATAGCGACTCTTATTAATGGTCGATATATTCAGTATTAATTGCAACAAATCTGCACATTTTGCAAATCGCATTGCGCTTAATGTCTTGCTCAAGTTATCATCACTCAACCCACTAATCATATATTGAATTAGCGACGACCCATTGCGAGCATTTTGTAATAAAATTTGATAACACTTTCCCCTCTTCCTATTGTTGCGTTCATTAGCCGAATATGAGCGTCGGCAGAATTTCGTACATAATGGATATCAGTTAGGAATATACTCATAAACTCATGCCATTCACGGAACACAGGCTGTGAGTCAGCCCACCGTTTTGCTACACCCTTGAGCTTACTGAGAACGGAGAATATCAGCAACGCGTCCTCCCAACCATACAAGTGTCTCAGCTGCTCGACTCTCTCGATGAATTGTACAGATGAATAGATGTTGTCGCATGGATCGAACTCTGGCAACACTGATCCTACTTCGTTAGGTGAATAAACGCGTCTCTCTCTTGCCACCGATGAACTCGCTGCTTCTTCTGCTCTCAAACATGGAGGGTACAGCAACGGCACTGCTCTGTTCATGTACGCAGACGGCGCCGTTAGATGATGTGCTCTGGCACAATCACCTGATTGTGTTGTTGCATACGACTACGCAGCGAACTTTGAAGTTGTTTGTACGGGCATACCAAACTGTTGGTATGAATACTGTTCTGTTAGTGGAGTACTCGGTTGCCTTGGTGACAAAGAGAATATCGGCGGCGGCGCTAACCGCATACATGGTGAAATGTGCGCCTCGCATAACGGTACGTTGCTAGCGTGTAAAGATGTGCCGGCGTCTGGAACATTCGGCATCGTTGGACGAAGAGCCTGCAATTGTGCGGCCAGTGACTCCACAACACTACACAGATTACTGACCTGCACTTCCAATTGCGTYCTGACTCTATCGTCGCCCCTCGACGGCTCCTCCTGACCATCATCTCTCCTGGAGACACCTRCTGTATCCACTGGAATCAAGGACTCTATGACTGGTCTAACCGTATCCCCGCTCAGTTCCCAGAGTCTGGCCACTGAACTCCGCTTTGTTGCCACACGTCTTAAGATTCAGTTGTTGCAGTGCTTGTTTCAACTGCGCCATGTTAAGTAAATTGTAGGCCATCTTGTATAGGTACAGTTTGTTCATCCCACTTCTGATATTTGACACTCAGCTTCTTGTCAAATRGACCTTTCGGTTTTATTACTTCTTGTCAACTAACTTTATATTAGCATTGAATACAAACTTGAACTCAAAATTAACAAATACAGAAAATTAATGAAAATGAATACATAGACGAAAATGAACAAGTGTATGAGTATATGTAAAAGAAATAGAGATCACACATCATAGTRATGACATTACGTTATCAAATGGTCGTCTCTGTTCGAAAATTAGTATATCGATTAAATTTCTGCTTTGGAAATTCGTTGGAGACCTCTGAGACCATCTAAATTGATTTTTTTTCGTCATAAATATAACCGTCTTCCTCTCGTCATCCCAAAAGCGATATTTTTCGGCGACGAAGCCTGACTAATTTGTGTTTGTCAGACAATGACGGTTTGGCGCATTTTTTTTTTTTTTTTTGTCGCAAATACTATCTAAAGTACATCTAAGTATTTGTTGTATTCGTTGTACACCTATCACCAAAATAATCTGTTGCTTTATTTATCTCTCACTTACATTTTTCTGCATAATAAGTTGTTGAAAGCTACGTTCTTGCTTTTTGTTCACTTTTGGATACCTCTCACTTCCCTTATTTTCTCCATAATTGGTCCCTAATTGTAAAAAATGTCTTACAATATACTTCGACCTATTTAATCGTCTTGAAATATCTCAATTTGACAAACCCTCTTCRTAATATGCCATAATTATTCCTTTCTCTTTTTCTGTCAAAGCTTTTCCGCTTTACGATTTCGAAAAAAATTAAAACATATAGATAATTAAATTAATAACTCATATGTGGTCTTATTTTTCACGACTAAACAAGCAATGGAAGCAAATAAGTGCCCTCTGGTTTTATATTCTTGTTAAATATTCACCGTCTACTGCGATTAGAAAAACAAATGAATATCAAATGACTCAAATGTCATCCTGTAAATTTAAAATACAGGACGCTTACACCATTTTATTTTAAGAAAAATATGAAATTTGACGGTGGCTTTATAAATATTTCGCAGGGTGTACGAATGTACTCTTAAGCACAGGTAGGTTATGTTACCAATTTCTATTAAAACGTGAAATAAAGGATGTGTTCAAAATGTTAGCCGCGACAGCAGTGTTGTAAGTTTGTTATTATATCACGTTCTTCGGGTATTTTTGGCAGCACTTGCAACAGCATCGCGTTGCATTAATGAACTTCAATTGCACATGTCTTAAAAACAATAAGTCAGCAGCAACTATATATACATTCATATACTACCATTTTAACCCCGAATTCGGGGGATGCTATTCTAAATCCCATTCAAAACTTGTTGTCATTAAATTAAATTTAATATTTACATCCTATTAACTTCCTCTTTTGGACCCTGTATTTTCCCTATTATGGTCCCTTGCTTGGAGTTTTTAACCCATCCTTTTATTCCAGCCTTAGTGCAAAGATCGCGAGTATATTTTGTGAAGTAACAACCTGTGGTGAAAGAGAAAAAAAAGTTACTAATATATTATTGTTTTTTTTTTTTTATAGATATAATTTAATAACGTCTAAAATAATCGAGATACATATAGGGTTACACACAAATTGTTCAGGATGATGAGACGAACTGAAATCCAACAATTGTTTGTCCGTTCGCCCGTACAACTGATAATTTATGTAAAAATTTATATATCTTGATKGAACGTGGTATTGCAGAGCGGTCAAATCCGGCTGTTGTTACGCTTTAATACAGCCGTTAATCAAAAAAGCGGAAAAGTTTAAGGCACAAAATTTTACTTTAGGTAAGGGCGTTATAGTAAGTTGGAGTATCTGTAGTTTAAAATTTTAAAAAGCGGGCGTGACACAGCCCAATGATTTTAATGTAAATATCTCAAACCTTTTAAGATATATCGACCAAACTTTTAGCATTTGGCCATACGGTATGAGCATTAGTAAAATCAGTGAAATCAAATGATAACCATGAATATGGTACCGAATAAGTGGATGCCAGTATTTAAGACTCCTTTTAATATAAAATCATTTTGGGCGATTTATTTAGGCTAGGGTCGCCAATGTTCAAAATTTGACAATTACAAAATACAACCCTTTAACAATGATTATAACTTATTGAAGAACTTACTTTAACGTTCTATCTATAAATTGGTTTCACAAATATCTCCTTAAATATTATTTATGCTAGATTCAAYAACTATCACATTTTCTGGCATTTCAACTAAAGGTCTAACTATAATGTGAATAAGCAAACTTAAGCCAACGTAAGTATTTGTTCAAATACTCATAAATTGTATTTTGCAACTATAATGTACTTTACATCTAGTTTCGTTAAGTTTTTTCAAAAGTAATTTGATTAAGGAAAATGCGAAACTGGTCGTATTTTTTCGTACGGAATCAGCGGTTTTTCGTTTTTTGTCAATAGAAACATCGTTTTGAACTTGAAAATGAAGGACGAACACAAACGAGATGTCTTTTATTTCGATCGCACAAATAAAGAAAAGGAGTTTCTAGGAATCGTACAAAAAAACCATTCCTCYTTCTGTTTTTTCCATGAACATGATGAATACGACCGAACTCTTCTTTTAATTTCATTAATTTTTGTTAATATTCATATTCCGTGTAAAACATATTGCTTTTAAATACTTTAATTTCCTATTCATTTCTGTATTGTAAAACATAAACGAAATATAAAATCAATACACAAATTGTTTATTTACACTTTTCTTTTCTTCATGTAAGTACATTATAGTCACTCAAAAGTCAACTCTCCCTTCCTATTGCATTTGACAGGCTTTTCGTTAATTTTTTGATACGGTATACGCCATACGGCAGCGTATGGGTATTATAGTTAGGCTTTAAGCCTTCAACAAACTGGTTGACATTACCCTCACTACTGCTTATTCTCGTCAGAAATTGAACTAATTAGATCTCTTCGGAGGGTGCACTCATATTTGAAGTTAACGTTATATGATTAAGAAACGGGACATCTGCCCAATTAGTAATACAACTTTTTATCATTACTAGTCGTGACGCATAAGGAACCACAGGCAATATTTGTCTAAAATCTCCACATACAGGTTTTCCAGCAAAAAAAATTTTTTGTTTTGTGAATCCTAGCATGAGTCTTTCAACATCATCTCAACACTTTTCATACCTTGTAACGGATATACAAAAATTTCTTATGAGTAATCTCGCCGAATCGTTAAATCTGGCATAACTACTATTTTTTAAATTCGGTACTGTATAATCCTTAGGGTTTATGAGCAGTCTAAAACATTATGGAATATAGAAAAGCTGTTCAAATATCATTGAACATGCTTACTTATCGGCAAAGCCGAAAGTCTTCTTCTTCTTCTTAATTGGCGTAGACACCGCTTACGCGATTATAGCCGAGTAAACAACAGCGCGCCAGTCGTTTCTTCTTTTCGCTACGTGGCGCCAATTGGATATTCCAAGCGTAGCCAGGTCCTTCTCCACTTGGTCCTTCCAACGGAGTGGAGGTCTTCCTCTTCCTCTGCTTCCCCCGGCGGGTACTGCGTCGAATACTTTCAGAGCTGGAGTGTTTTT